CTGTGATGGAGTACTATATCATCATAAACAAAAAATAAAAAAAGATTTTTCTTGACTCATATTAATTCCAGGTGCCCTTTATAAAGAAATAAATATGTTAAAGGCATTGGTTGAATTAAATTGGCATATTAATCTAAGAGATTTTGCTAAGTGCCAAGGATATCAAACTGACAACTAACTCCAGTTTTTCAAAAAATATCTGATCATTATAAGTCATGGGATTCTATATGTAATATATATAGACATCCGAGTTAATGTGGCCAAATATCATTTCTGAAGAAAATTCTTTTGTCAAAGGATTTTTAAAATGGGCTAAAATCAAACTGATGATATATTTAGGTTAAAGTATAAACAAATTTTTCTTTATTTACAAGCAATTATTAACTTTCATATTGGTGTTCATTTTAATAGGCCTTTACTAAGATTTGTAGCTAGATAAATGTTTGCACCTATTTGGTCTGTTTGACAGCATCCAATCTATTGATTAATCAAGATTGCTAATAAAGAACAAATACTACTATTAAGGCCCAAAATTTGAAATTTAATTCAAGAAAGAGTTGTTACTTCGTGATCCAAACTTCCAAATCAACATCAAGGCTATGATACAATACTTGAAGAAATTAATAAATTATTGAAATCATCAATTTCTCCAATATCTTCACAATAGTATTAGAAAATTGTAGTACATAATTGTACTAATTTTTCGAAATTGTGTACTAATATTTTTAATATAATAGGATACTCTGAAAGTGAAGCCAATAAGCCTCATACATATTCTGGTTTACTGTTGAATCATGCCGATTTTGGGTTCAGATAAGAAAAGCTTAATTTGTGAATCTAAATGCTAATAATTGTGTTTTTCAAAATCTAGGTGGAGAATTGACATTAAGCAAAGAAATGACATTGCAAGTATGAAAAGAATTGAATTTATTAAAGCAATATTAATTAAAAATACATCTTCAGATATTTGGTGTCTAATTTCTATAACATGCAAAAAGGCAGAACTTCAAAAAAGTAAAAGATCTTTAAAAAAATCTGAAATTTTATCTATTATTAACTCTTTAACTTCTTCTTTAGGTGATTTAGATCAATTGCATTTTTGTGGTTTATCAAATAACTTCTGTGAAAATTTAATAAATATTCTTCAAAAAATCAGAAATATATTAACTAAAAATAGCATCAATATTAGTGAAGTGTAATTGGAAAGGGTATTTTTCTTGGAAGATTTTTTTTGTATTATTTTATTATTAAAATAGCTACTATTTATATATAAAAGTGTTATAATTTTAATATAGTATAGTAAAATATAATATCTATTTATTAATACTGTATAGCCATAATAAAAAATAAAATAAAATTAAGTTGAATACATATAGGTTAATTGTTTAATACTTTAGTACTTAATGTGTCTGCTATAATTAAGTAATACAGTAATAATAAAATTTGGTTTAAAAATTTTCTGATAAGTTAATACAATTATCAACATCCTTATTTCTACTTATTCATTCTTGCATTGTTTTCTGAGGTTCACAAGTTTGACACCAAGCTGGCAATGTGTTAGATCGATTACAATTTACTTGAAATTTCCTATTTAATAATATAATTCCAAATTTTTCCTCCATCTATTTGTAATTTATCAAGCTTAGCCATTATCTAAAAGTAGAAAGAAAAATTAAAATTTAGAATACTAAACGAAAAGCCACTAGTTAAATTTGATAGCAACACACCACCAATACAGCGATAAAACTAAAAAACCAACCTAACATGATAACAATCTCTGTTACCTCAAAAAAAAAGAAAAATTAGTCTAGTATATGATCTGTTAGATTTCAAAGATTCAATTTTTATACAAATGAGACAAGGTAACAGATAAGCATAGAATTTACTTCTCTTAATGTTAATTTAATTTAACATGTAGCTCTTACTATACTATTGTACCATTGCCACATAGAATAACTTCAGAGTTATTTGTGTATATGTATGTAAATACTCTTATTGCAGCATTTTTGTATAAAGTTTGTTGTAAAGCCAGAATAGCAGAATAGCAGAAAGCAGTTGAAGTCAATTAATATAGCTTTTTAATTTGATTAGCTAATCATTGTAATATATAGAACAATCTAGAAATGAAGTCTAGAATAATCTAAAGGTTAATTATTACTAAATAAAATGCAATTGTCAATTACCAAATATAGTAAAATTCCTAACTGTAATATTAAAAATGTCAATGTTTAAAATCCTGAAAGCAATTTTTAACACTATCAGGATTTTATTTTCTGGATCTTGAATATCAGAATTTTAAATATCAGATTCTGAGTCAGCTCCAAAAATTACTATTAGAAAATCTGCAATTAGCAATAATTAATATATAATTTTAATAGGCTATTGAATACTCTAACTGGCTATTGATTCTTTATCAGAAAAAATGCACTAATACAAATAACAAAAAATTCAAAAATGAACAATAAATCTGATATTAAAATTTTTTTAAAAAAAATAATGAGTATAAAATTAAAACATGCATAAAATACAAAGAAAGCCTTACAATCTTTTGCTAACTGAAATACTTTTTTTTTCTTTTTAAATAGCTTGGTTTAAATATTTTGAAAATAAGTAGATATTTAAAAAATTTTTATTAGAAATGAGATATATATACTTTTTTTTTTTTTTTTTTTTTTTTTTTTTAATGTGAGATCTTGCTCTTATCTTTATTAAACTTAATGAAAACTTTTTATATAATTGAAAAAAGTTTTATATTTTAAGCCTAATACTAAAAATAAGAACTTAGACATATAACTAGAGAGACTTAGCAGCCAGTCTAGAGACTTATTTACAGCCTAAACCTACTAGAGTGGCTAAAGCTTACCTAGAATTGAGATAAGTTAAAAATATATAATAGGTGTGTGCAATATTTGATCTAGTTAGAATACCAAAAAGATATTTTTAAAAAGTCTGTTTGGTAAGTAGTATTAGAAATATCAAGTATAGGAGGTGTATTAGAAGATGGTTCAGATAAAAGAGATTGCTGAGATAGTAAGTATTAGAGTTGGGGTCTAGAACTACAATATGAGATCCAGATATTTGAAAATAATTGTTTGTTGATGTGAAGAAGAAGTTGAATAGTGATTGAAGTAGCTAGTTGATTGGATATAGTAAATTCATATATTGTATATATGATATCAAGTGGAACAAGACCAGAAAGTGTAGAGATGATAGAAAGTTTGTCAGAAAAGTTGTAAATTTAAAACTATAATGATTAATAATTTGGTTGTATAGTTGGTTAATTTGAGATAAAGGAATTTGAAGTTTGTGAACAGTTAAAATTTGTTATAACAAATTTTGTATAAGTATATAGAGGTGGTTGGGGGAGGAGTATATAGCCTAATGTAGTATAGTACTTGTTTGCTAACATGAATGACAAATATTAGAGTAATAGGGGTTTCTTTTGTGCAGAGTATGAGGAGCAGAAAGTTTGTCAGTAAAAAGCTTGACTCTAAATGTTTTGAGAATAGAAAACTAAAACCTATAAGCAAAATTAGAAACTTTTTAGTTATTGTTAAGATAGAGCCAAGTTGCACTTTAGTTAAGATATTGAGAGATTTTTATCCAAGGTTGAAAATGGTTTTGTGATGACCAAAAGGTGAAGGAAGATATTTGTATGATATAAAGTTCGAATACTATAGTGAGTAGGAAGTTCAAGAAAGTAGACTTCTAAGAGTAAAATAAACAAAGTGTTATAAATATTATTAGAGTTAAAGACAAGATATAGAGAGTTAAGGTAATTGTGAGCTAATTCATCAGCTTTGTTATTTAATGTGTTGTTTTGGTGTGCTTTGACTTTATAAAAAGTAATTTGTAAATTATAGAATCAAGAAAAATTAAGAAGTGTATTTTATATAAACCAGTATGGTATATTAGAAGAGTTGTGGCTAATTGGATATTAAGTTAGACTAAGATATTTTGATATAACAGATTGGGAATCTGTAAAGATTTGAATATGACAGTTTCTGGAGGCAGGGTATATAGCAAATAAAATTGCAAGTAATTTAGCTTTAAAAGAACATGGCTATAGAGAGATTTGTGCTTAAAATATATGAAGAATATTGTTACTATTATTGATCTGTAGCCAACTGGTTCCCATAGAGCACTGGGAATTTTCAGAACTTATGACAAATCCATCAGTATAAAATATGAGATTATATAAAAGGTAATTGTTGTTGGCAATATTTTAAAGAGTATTGTAGGCGGAATTAGCTAGAAATATAGAAGGAATTTGTAAGATTTGTATAATAAAATTGGGAAAAGGGTATACTAGAGTAGTATCTTGATGTTGAAGTAAATATATAAGGTCAAGAGGGTTTGCATTAAAATTAATTAATTTATCAGAGTAGAGTTTGCCAAAAAAATTAATAAAGTGGCTAGTTAGAATTAAAATAGTATATTTGCTATTGATAAGACTAGAATTAAAGAAGCAGTTAGTGCAGGGTTGAGAGATTGTGTTGAAAGAAGGATATAAAGATAAATAGGCAGTTGTAAGATTATATTACTAGTGGGTAATTAGCATGTATTCAGAGTTTGTAGATTGGTGACAGGCTTTGCCAATAGTAATTTAGTTATTAAGTATTGAAATAAGCTAAGGTTTAGGGTGTTTTTGGTATATACTTTTCTAATTGTATATTATAATCATATATATATATATATATATAAAGAATTTATAACTATTTATTTCAAAACAAATATGTTACTAATTTAATTTGAAATTAGAAATCTGAGTATTAATTCTGAATTACCCTATCTATCAAATTTTTTTTTAAGTTTTTTGTTAAGATTTTTTAGTTAAAAAACAATCTTTGGCATAAATTTTTATATAGAATACAGTAAATATATCAATATACTAGACATGTATTCAAGTAAAAACTTAATTTTGGATGTGTTATATTGTTCAGAATACAATTGTAAAAAAATATGAATTATTATTATTATATTATTAATTATGCCCAATCAATTGCTAAAATTAAAAGCTTTTCAAATTGGCAAATAATAATGATACAAAAAAAAAATCAGAATTCCTATACTAGGGGGTTTCAAAGTTAACAAATAAGTGTAGCATTTTGAAATTAAATGAGAGCTTGATAAATATTATTTGTTTTTAAGATTTTAAATATTGAAAAATGAAATGTAAATATTTGAATATCCTATTTCATAAAATTAGAAAATTTTTATAATATTTTATAAAAAATAAATAAATAGAAAGTAAAACTTTTATTCAAGCTAAAAATAAGATCAGATTGCCTGATTACTTATTTTAAAATAAATACATTATCAATTTCAATTAAAATTGAATTTCCACATTTTAACTTTGAAACCCCCTACTAAGAGGTAAAAAAAAAAAAAAAAAAAGTATATTCCAGTAATAAATAATATTTAAAAAAAACTTATTTGTGTATTAAAATTTCAAACCTAGAAAATAAAATAGAACTCTCATTTGGCAAAGTTTCTTCGAATTAGGTCTATTTTTTTTTATTTTTATTTTTTTTTGGCGATCCTGCCTTTATTAACTAAGAATTGTATACAAGTATGCCATAATTTCATCTTATACTATCAGTACAATACAAAATTTTCTATTTTTAATAAAGACTCACTCGACTTTAACAAAGCCCAGGTGCGATCTGCCACAACAGCTTTTTACCTCCCTTCATGTCTCTTAACTTCTCGAGAAAGAAAACTGAAGATCTTTGGTTGGTAGCTGCCA